AATAAACAATCGTGGTACAAAGCTCAATAAAAATATTAAAAATAAAAAGTGTCTCATGTAAACGCCGGGTTTGAGCCATTTTAACAATATTAGAGTGGACTCTCTACCCACGTACACATTCGCAATTAGCATATGTGAAATGGTGCGAATCATTCGCATAACGAATGCGAATGCAAATATTCGCAACATCCCTGTTTGGCACTACAACCGTTTGTCGGTTTAGGCCCGAGACCAAAAAGCTTCTCCAATTGCTTCTCTCCTGTGCGATTTTGCGCCAGCTGATTATCCCGAGCGCAGACAGGTCCTTCTGCACTTGGTTCTTCCATTGCGTTCGCAGGCGCCCATGCTTTCGTTTTCCACCCATGAGTGCGGAGTCGAAGGATCTTTTCACCGGAGCGTCGTCATCCATGCGTACAACATGTCCAATCCAGTGCAATCGATGTATTTTATGCATTTAACTATGTCCATGTCATACAGTTCGTCATTCCATCTTCTCCGATACCCGTCATCCACGAAAAGAGGCCGTAGATCTTGTGTAGAATAGTTCTCTCGAAAGGCCCCAAAGCCTTCTCATCTTTGTTCGACATCGTCCAAGTTTCTACGCCTTATAAAAGGACGGGCTTGATTAGAGATTTGTAGAGCGTGATTTTTGTTCGTCAAGATAGGGCTCTGCTTTTCAATTGCCTTCCGAGCCCAAAGTATCACCTGTTGGCAAGAGTTATTCTTCGCTTGATCTCCAGGCTGACGTTGTTGGTTTATGCCGGCCCTAGGTAGACAAAGTCCTTCACTACTTCAAAGTTATAGCTGCCAACAGTGACGTGTGTCCCGAAACGCGTGAACTCTTTATATGTTGCCTGGAGGTACTTTGTCTTGCCCACGTTAACCGCTAGACCAACTTCTTTAACTTCTTTTTTACGTATATAAGATATTCAGTCTTACCATTTTCCCCGAACCGGTTCACTTTTCACTTTTGGTTTCCATGGTTTTACTATGGGCGAAGGACAAATTTGGGGTGAATTTTTTTTCAGGCGAAACTCAGGCAGGCAGATTTAAAACTACCTTCATTGAGAAAAAATACAAACAAATTTTCATTTCGAATTTTCACTATGGGAAATTTTGAGAAAACGCATAGCCCCATCGGACAACTCGTACAAAATCGATAGAAATCATAGTTTTAGAATTTGTTTTCCCATTTTCTGTCTGCTTTCCAGCTATCGAAAAGCAGCTTGTTTTGCACCACTCAGTGCGCTTGGGACATTTGACGTGAATTGCCCCATATATCAAGTGATATTTTTTGGTACTTCCAGAGTTGCTGATAGCCTTTTTATGATATACTGAACAAAATGCAAGTAAAAGTGTATTTATTTCAACTTCATTTGCTGTTATTTCATTGGATCTAGAACTTTTTTATTTCCATTTTTTGCTTCTATGTATATATTTAGTGCTATTAATGAGTTTTGTTTTTATTTTTAGGAGGGTATTTACGTCGCAGCAACTGCTCCAAATTCAAATGCTGCCCGGGTTCTGTGTGCAAGTGACAAGCTGCTTGAAATTGATGGCCATGACCTTACTAATCTCAGCATACTTGAAGCTAAGGCGATTATTTCGAGCGCTGGCCCAACGATGCACATAATGCTATCACGAAAATGAACTGTATTAATAAATAAGCGATTCCATACATATCTCTTTTTACCACAAGACTGGAATAATGAAGGATAGTGGAACAAAATAATTGTTTATATAGTCTATGAATACCACTTAGTGAAATTGTACTATGAGTATAGGTTTGTTATAGAACTGTAAACTTAGTAGATTTACTTTGCGCCAATGGAATACTTTGCGTCAATTTTGTTTGTGACATTACATTTTATTTAAATGAACTAAAAGTACATATTTTGATAAATTACATATGTAACGATATAATTTAAAATACAGGAACATTTTTGATAGTACATACTTCATTAGCAATATACTTAGTGTAAATTATTATTATAAGGTTACGTTTCTTAATAAAAACATAAAAATCTGTATTATGACCGAATATTTCCTGACGCCACGGCGTTATGACGTGCGGCGCTTTACCTGACTTGTATTTCTGTTACGTTCTGCTTAAGAAATTTTTCATAGGCACAATTTTAATTTGAAATTGAACAGAAAATTTGAGCGAATTGCATCTGTATGCATGATCAGAATGAGAGAACAAGTACGTGTGAGTACTCACGAATGCGAGACTCCATGGCTGCCAACTTGCCTAAAAGCACCAAAACTTGGAAAAAAATCAAAACATCACCAATTTTTCAGTAAAATTAAATGTGCAAATGGCAAAACCTATATAAAAAGTGAACCAGTAATTACGATTTTAATTTTTTATAGAACTAATTGAATTTTCACTGTAATTCAATCATAATATTTAATTTATTTGAAATAATGCTTTTATATACATATGTATGTACGTATGTTTATATAAACATTTTTGTTTCGAGAATAAACTGCACTAAATAGGCACTGAACATTGCGGGAAAAGTACTCGACTAGTATTATACATTTCTCGAATGTTTTAATGAACGTCTGCTCAGCTAATATGAAAAAACATGCATATATACACATGTTTTTTAAAGTTTTCTCAAATAATGAAATAAAATCGTTTGGAGGAATACTATTGAAAATGGCGGAATTTCTGAAAATTGGGAGAACGGGCTTTGTATGAGTTGGCATCCCTGGTGCGTGATCACGCATACTTGCTATCTTATTCCGGCCACACACGCAGATGCAAATGTGTACCGACCAAGGTTCGGACGAAGAAATTCGTAAACCGCAGCGCAATTAAAAATAAAACGCAGCAAAACGAATTTTATCGTAATAGATTTTATATTTTATGCTAATAAAAAGATATATTTTATATACAAATACGTATTTACATTAGACTGCATCACTCCCAATACAAAAAATAAATCGGTACTGTTTTTCCATTGGAATTATAAAATCTATTATATTTTAAGACGTCCACCAAAATATTTCTGAAAAATATTAAGATTTAAGCGAGCTGGACCGATTTGCAAATACCCCCAAAAATGGAGGTTTTTATGAATAAAGATAATTTCTTAAAGATGTTTTTTGAAAAAATTCCCTCAAATGACAAAACGGAAGGAGTCTCAAGAGACTGAGGAAGGCGGCGCCTCGAGCGGCCCCAACGCGTCGCACAACGCCACGAGCGAACCGACGCAAGAGATTTCTAACCCTGGCAACGCCCCGAGCGGAACAGTGGATATGGAGGAAGTGTGCCCTGCGGATGTATCCGACACCGCGACGGAGTCTCAGAGCGAAACGTGCTCAGTCTCCGCTAACGTAGGGTCGGTCTACAGCCGCTGGGCCGCACTACCAGAGGACCAGCTTCTAACTTCAGAACCGGAGGAGCTCGATTGCACTATCGTAGCTTCCCAAGGTGAGGAGCCTGAAGCGATGAACGAGGACCCTCCCTCGGACTCCGATAATGGTGCAAGTGCTACAGATTAACTTGCACCACTCTAAGGCGGCTTCGGCTGCCCTACTTCTACACCTCGGCAACAAAGCAGAGGATCTCGTTCTTCTCCAAGAACCTTGGATCGTCAAGAACAAGGTTTGCGGTTTAAACTCTGGCGCCTAGCAGGTGGTCTCAGCACCAGTCACAGGAAGGATTCGAGCTTGTATTCTAATTAAAAAGAATCTTTCTTATTTTCTACTCTCTCAGTACAGTGACGAGGACACCGTTTGTGTCAGCGTGCAGCTGGGGACGAAAACCATCTGGATAGTGTCATCATACATGGCACACGACTGTCAAGACTTTCCGCCAAATCGACTACAGGACGTGGTGAAGGAGGCCAACTACAGGAAGCTTCCCAAGGTCATCGGGTCTGACGCAAACTCTCACCATATTTTATGGGGCTCCAGCGACATCAACCCACGAGGTTAGTCACTACTCGACTTTATTCTTAGTTCCGATCTATGTATAAGCAACTCGTCAAATAAACCCACGTTTATAACTTCCAACAGAAAGGAAGTTCTGGACATCACGCTAGTCTCAAACTACTTCTTTGAGTACGTCAGGGACTGGCATGTCTTAAGTGAACATTCATTCTCCGATCATCAATATATTTCCTTTAGGCTCTCCCGAAGAGCCCCACCTCTTTCGTGTTACAGGAATATGAGGTGGACCGATTGGACCAAATATAAAATGGAGCTCTCGGTAGCCCTAGACGCTTCTCTCGGTATGCACGCCATACCGTTAACAACTGAGGACGCCCATCCTCCAGCGACAAAGTCTGTTTCTCTCGGTGAGCTGGACTCATCGTGAAAGATTGATGAAGCCGTAGACCTTGTCACCAAAGCCTGCGACATAGCATTTAAAGCTTCCTGCCCAGCAACACGTCCAAGGGGCAAAAGGAGACCCCAATGGTGGAATCCGGAGATCTCCCTGAGGAGAACCAGCAGGAAGCTTTTTAAGAAACGAAACAAACTGAATCTTGGCAACCCTACAAGTATGCTCTGAAAGCCTTTAAGAGTTCTGTACGAATAGCTCAAAGGGAATCTTGGAAAACTCTGCGGCAACATTGAGGAAACCTCGAAGGGCAACCGACTACGGAAGGTCCTATCTAAAACTCCAGTTACCCCAAACTATATCCAAAAACCTGATGGTGAATGGACCTCCTCTTGCAGCGAAATGCTAGATGTTCTCAGGGACACCCACTTCCCGCAGTGTACAAAGGAACCAAAGGCAGACGCGACAAATTAGATGACTTATCCTTCGCAGCACTCAGTAGAGAGCATAGTGCAACAAGAAAAGGAGAAACGGACGATCAAGACCTTCAAACCCTATAAATCTCCCGGGCCGGACGGCATATTCCCTGCCGAAATTCAGCAGGCAGTCGACGTTTTTGCCCACTGCTCGCTGAGATCTTTAAGGCCTGCCTTCGCCTTTGTCACATTCCTAGAGGATGGACAAAAGCTACGGTAATCTTCATACCGAAAGGTGGAAGGGTCTCTCACGTCAAACCCAATGACTTCAGGCCAATAAGCCTAACGCCCTTTCTTCTTAAAACTCTAGAAAGATTTCTTGATGCCCACATCAGACAGCGCCTTTCTTCTGAGGACGTGTCGGAGTGGCAACATGTTTATTCTAAGGGCAAATCCGTGGACACTGCGCTCCACGAAATTGTGTCCAAAATTGAAAATGGACTCGCCTTTAAGGAATTTACCTTAGGCATCTTTCTTGACATAGAAGGCGCCTTTGACAATATTCTTCCAGAGGCTGTGGTGGGCTCACTTTCCCAAGTGGGCTGGAGCGGCCTCTGGTGGAGCTTATAAGACTTCCCCTAGAAAGAAGAATTATCTCGTCAGAGTTGGAGCGCGTCGATAACCAGGCATGCAACGAGAGGTACTCAAGGAGGAGTTCTTTCCCCCCTACTCTGGAACCTTACAGTAAGCTCAATTCTGAAACTCTCGCTAAACCTAAGCAGGCGGCTGCCTGACCACTGCAGCGTTTTTCAGGCGGAATTAACAGTCATAAGGGAGGCCGCCCTATGGCTAAAAAGTAGCACAAATTGTCCACAATCCGTCACTATTTATTCCGACAGCCCAGCAGCGATTAAATCTTTGCAGTGCTGCCGAATGTAGAAGTACCCTAAACGAGCTTGCCGCGAAAGCCACCATTAACGTGATATGGGTACCCAGGCACAGTGGAAAACCGGGAGACTGCGCGGCAGATGAGCTGGCGAGGGGGGGGAACTGAACTACGCTCAGCAAACTCTGCGCTCGATGCAGGCGTTCCCCTGTCCTCGAGTATGCTCCAACTGAAATCTATTTTCATTAAATTGGCCAACGAACGTTGGGCGAAAGAACCAACATGTTCTGTTACAAAACAGATCTGGCCAATTCTAAACGAAAAACGATCTAAAACTCTCATACAAATCGACCGCCCCATTAATAGCACAGTTGTAGGTATAATTACAGGACACTGCCTAATGGGAGCGCATACTAGGCGAATGGGTTATCCCGCAAACGATTTCTGTCGTGCCTGCTGAGACGAGGAGGAGGTGGAGAGTGTAGAACACTATCTCCGCCACTGCCCCGCTCTGACAAGGTCAAGACTTGCTATTTTTAATCAACATACTTTTCGGTGTTTTGCCGGTCTCGACTCTGTGGACGTCCACGACCTTCAACGATACGTTAAGGTCACACGTTGATTCTATCATTTGGGAAACTAAGGGAGAGGAATAAGAGCTCGTTCATAGTGGCATTACAATGGGTCAAAATGGCCTATGTGTGTCTCTCTGCCATTTACTCTTGTATGACTAAATCATTTAATTACGAATTCCTATCAAGAACGCTTAAAGGCAGTGGGAGTGAATATCCCTCCACTAACCTTACCCATCGGCGGGAGTGGTAACCTCCGCCGAATATAAGACTAAACGCAAATGAGGTGGAAACTCTGAGGTGCGCTTCGTTTGCCAGTAGTGTGTGCCCACCGACAAGTATGCCCGCCTACTAGCGACTGCTCAACTTTACAAAATATTTCCTCACTTTTATACTGTTCTGCGCGCAGGCAGGCTTTTATTCTACAATAACAATGCTTATCTACTAATGTTGATAGCAACAATTGAATACTGAATTTAGTGGTGTATGGTTTATACAATTCAACAAGTATGTCTAAATTCAATACAATTCAATTTATATAAGTAAATGTAATACAATTCGCTTTATATAAGTAAATGTAATACAATTCAATTTAACTTATTCGATTCAAATACTTAAAATAATTCACACCCCTATTGCGAATGTCGACTGGCAGTAGATAAACGACTATTAAGCGATTATCGATTATCGATGCTATTGCGAGTGTCGCTTAGTCGCTCAATTAGCGACTGTGAATACTTTTTAATCGCTCATCCTTCTATTGCTGTTTTTTAGTCGTTGGAGTTTGCGTTTATAAAATTTATATAAGAAAGTGGTACTATAATGGATAAAAAGTAAGTCAATTGAACTGGAAGTTGTAAAAAATTGTGAAATATACATATGCATGTATGTGTCTGAATTACAGATCAAAAATTATAAGCAACAAAAGGCAACTTGCGCGGTTGGTCGTACTGATGCAGGAGAGTGAAGATATAGGCAAAGGAATTTCCGGAAAGAGTAGGGTAGGAAGCTCCGCTTCTATTGGAAAAGATACATATACAATATTTCTTGTGCATATAACTCCGGCTACGCCATCCACAGTGTTTTTGCGCAGAACCAACATCAAAAGTTTATACAAAAAATCTGCATAATTTATTAATTGACTAGTGCTCGGAAATTTGAAATCTTTATTTTAAATTAAAGTTGAATTCTTTAAATACACTTGTTATGTTGTTATGTTAAAGTTTTTAAACTCGGGTCACGCATTTGGACACAAAAACCCAACATCATTTTACAAAAAACTTAACCGTATCGTATTTCTTAAACTTCCATAAAGTTTATTAATGAGGAAAACAGCTTTTCCTGCAAATCATGTAAAGCCTAAAAACCGTGAATCATCGGGAACGCAACTTCTATTCATAAAACTCACACGTACATACACCTTCCAAGTCCAAGGGATCCGACGAATCTCGCAATTCCCTCCTTGCTTTAGCCAACTCTACTAATCTATTAGCTTCCGCATCATCTTCCTCACCACTAAACCAGATTTCAACTGTGTCCATTTTTTAAATTTTATAATAAAAGCAATTATTTTAAAAATGATGTAAATAAAACACTCAAGAAACAAATGTAAACAAACAAACAGCTGTTTACAATTCTGTCAACCATTCACAATAGTACAAATTTTTATCGATCAAGTTACACAATAGCAAAATAAAAGATGTTCGACTCGATCGACAAATTTCTATTCTACCGCCAGTCGACACTCGCAATAGGGGTGT